GTCTGCAGATATAATGCACAGGAAAGGTTAATTGTCAGTGTGCAGAGGATCTGCCAGTAGGTCTGCAGGTACAACGCACATGGTAAGCATACAGTATGCATAGGACTTTTTATGATATACATTAACAGTGTCTTCGGGGTCTTCTTAACATACATTAATTATCCAGTGCGACTGCACAGGGTTAGCCGTGGACAGGGTAAATTTTATGTCTTCAGGTACAGGTTTACCGACTGTGCACTGAAGAAGATATCTTCACGTTACTGTACATGCCGATTTTTGCTTTCGGGCTGGAAGCTATCTTGGTTGTTCATCCATTTGATCCTTCACCAACAGCAGCATGATTTCGTTCTTGGATAGATTTTTTTTAGCAAAGCTTGCTCCAGCTTGCTCAATATATAGAGTAATATTATGCAAGGCGAAATTGGTAAAAAGTAACATAAATGGCCTCTGCTTGAAAAAAATCGAGAAGCTGGCAAAGTTGAATTCCAAGATAAGCGCGGCGCCAATAAACTCGATGGGGATAGATTATTGTGGGGGCAGAAATCACCAGCTGTCAAAAAGGCAGCGTTGCAGAGTTCGATGGACTCAAGCCGAGTATCGAAAAACAATAAACTGGGTAGTAACCGAGAATCGATAACACGTCTATCAGACCACTGCCGAGGAAGACGTTTCGAAAATGGACAACTGTGAAAACTCGAAATTATCCTAAGCAAACTTGGGTAACAGAAAATAATCGAGAAGAAAATATGAAAGTAAATAAATGAAGCAGATACAGAATTGATATCAATTTGAAACGTAAATTTGAAATTAACAACAACAGGATATAAGCAACAGGATGAAAAAATTTGAAACACAGACTTCATATTAGGGATAAGGTCACAAGGTTATTTAGTTCAAATATTATTACTAAAATCAAAGCAAACAACACCGATAATTATACACAGTGACACGTTAGTTTTGAACAGTTGACAATTTTGTGTTATAAATAAAGAATGTTTAAGTCCCTCTCATAAGTTTTAAGAAAAATATTAGGTCCAAGTACTTACAAACGATGCAATTCTCGAGAACGCAACGAAGTTCATGCCAACCAATTGCAGTTTCGAAAGCATCTGAGTAAAAGGTCAGAATAGCATGCCATCACTGACTATAGACAGGCAGTGTCTTGGAATCTCATCAAAACCGAACTACCTCCAGCCGACGCTCCAAAAAAAGTCTAGGCGCATGAAGTTTATGCCACCCCCATACCCACACAAAAATGGTACAGCCGAGTTTCTTGTTGCTTAAAAGCCTGGAGCTCTTCGACAGCCGTTTCGAAAAAAAGATAACCAATCTCTGGTCTAAGTCTTCTTATATATATGCTTGCAAGAATCGTGTAAAATACTGGTAATATACGTGTTTACGATCATGTTTTTTCACTACTGTCAATATCTTCATCATGTTAAAATGCACGAATGACACCAATCTCAAAAAAGAAACTCATTGGAAAGAGACTCTTGTTGAGATAGTTCTCTCATTTAGTTGCGAACAAGGCAAAAAAAAACTAATGTCACTTTGGCAAGCATCAAAAAGCCCACACACAACGAAATTTGTTTCGAGTATTTCCCGTTATCCCCCAAATACAGAATGCTTATTTAGTCTTGTAAGGGTTAGCGGAACAGAATGTTAATTGGCTAGACGACTAGACAGTGCGCACTGGCAGAAAGAATAAATTAAAACCAGAGAAAATTACAGGGCTCGTTAGTTATAGGGTGCACTTGTTGCCTTAGGTATTGGCGTTGCAGAACACTCAGGAGGACCACGCCCAAGCCCAGCGCAAATTACGGACTTGCTCTATCTACCGAGTGAGACGCCAAATGGATTTAGATGGTTTTCTCGTTTGCCGTCTCGGCAGGAGCTTCGAAGCTCCTTTGAGTGAAGAATGCCTGAGATATATTCAGAGGAGGAAAGGCAATGTGCTGTGTCTTGTTGAACGACTTGGTATGTATCCCTAGATGCTAAAGAGCTGATATAGATTTCTATAAGATTGCTTCGTATGAAGTATGCTTTTTTAATAGCTCTTAATATCTTGGAAATAAAGTAGAAGCAAATGATATGCCGGTTTAGAAAAAAACGAGCTTAACAATGAGTGCGAAAAAACATGGTTGTAAAGTAATTTCAAACATTCCACATCCTTTTGAATTGAGCTTTGCAATACAGAACTCGTGCCTGACGCCACCCAGTCATCTTCGTCTTCAAAGTCTGAATATTGAATCTAATTACACTGAGTGATTGCACTGGATTTCAAACAGCTCGGGGAGTAGCACGCGTTGCGTAAGGGATGGGCCACTGGGGACAGTTTATGGCTCTTAACACCAAAGCAATCACAAACTATAAAATTATGTACAATCGTTTATTGATTTTAATTGCTGATAGTGATACCTGGATGTAAATGAAAGATATTGGAAAAAATTGCTCGAATTTCAGTTGTAAAATCTTGCATAACGTTCTAAAACCAACCATGAAATATATTTTTGAATAAATTACAGTATTCAAAAATATATTTTTGAATAAATTTTTGAAACTACAAGCAGTGCTTGCGGAAGTAAACATCAAGGATTTATTAGGAACAGAGATTTCAGTGCATGTATTTTTGATAACGCGTTAAGAACGATAAGTTATGTTCGTTCTGACGTATGATAAAGATTATTCGGTGCCTCCAACACAGAAGTTATGACCGACACTCACTTTGGAAGAGCGATTCCGGTCATTTCACGTTTGAGTGACGGGCTTGAAAGAACCGAGTAGGGTTCTAATTAAAAAGTAATCGTTTGTAAGGGGCTGTTATTCGAGGCTTGCAACGCGAACGGTTCTGGTGATGGCTGTCTATCTTTCTGTCGACACTGACACGGCTTTATTCCGGCTGATGAGTAGCTTAGGCGTACCAGATACTTTGAAATGTGACGCTAATGAATGAAAACGGCTGCACAGTCTGGTATTGCTGAGTTAGAGCACGAACCTAGCCAGATTACAGAGCAGGTAAAACTGCAAACGCACGGCCTAAAATGCCTATGGAGCGGCTTATCACGTCGCTTGCCATGCGTTTAATTGGCCAGCTAATTGTGCTGACTCAAACGAGTTCTTTTTTAGGACTCGCTACTGCAACTTGCGCATGCTTAGAATTTCTCACTGGGGCTTTCTTGGAACGAGAACGAGATGAGTAAACAAGATTTTAAGCTGGCTAACTAAGTCATTTCATGTCAGAAAAATTAAGTGTAACATTTATTTTAATTCAGGCGTGCATACAGTTGGCTGTAATAACGAAAAAAATTGTATAAAATTATTATATATTCTAATTCAAATATTCAAATAATGAACGTCATAATGCTACATCTAATTACCACGTGATATTAAACCATTTTTCAATTCTTAAATTCTGATTTATTCCCACTGATTTGCTCAAACTGGGAGACGATTGTTTGGGAGGCCCTCGCGGTCGTGTTCGTTGCACAACTGAAATTCGTCAAATTTTCCAGCTACCGGAAACCGCGAGTCAAATTGAGCCCCTCGTAGTTTTGTTCACATTTCCCAAGAGGAGACAGGCTCCAAATCTTTCTAGCCCAGGAAGAATTGCATTTATGTGCCTTTGTTTTGGAAGAATGGATGCAACATTCTCATTATCTGTTCAGCGGCAGGATGGGAATTTTTCGTTGGGTGACGAATAACAAAAATTTCAAATGTAAGAAATAAATTTAAATAAGGGCAGATTCAGTTCCGATAAATTCCCGCAAACATTTCTTCATTATATTTCGCTGGCCAGCCCCAAATCTCCTCGGATTGTCTGAGGTCACTGAAGCGTTACATTTAAGCTGAATGGCATATATATATTTGCCAACAGAAATATTGCAATATTCCCTTGACAATCTCCACTACTTACGCAACCTTTAACCGGGTCGTGGTGGCATAGGTTCAAAACTTCGGGAAATTGTTTAGGGAAAAGAGGCCATGGAAGGTGAGCTATTTCCATTGATTCTACCTCGGTCAAGCGTGACTGAGCATGCAAAGGCGATGTCCAAATTTTGACCGATTGCTATTCAAAGTTTGGCCGATCTTTTTTAGAATCTCAAAATACCTATTTTTACGATAAATCAAGCTGATAAATTTAGCAAATTTAGTATTAAGACCAAATCAGTGCAAAGTTGGGCAATTATTACCGAGGTGTTTGTTCCTTATTTACTAGCAGATTTGCACGTTCAACGTCAATCACTGGGAAAATTTTTCTCAAATTTCATATTACGTCATGTGCACGTCACATTTTGTGCCCTAATACTGAAAATCTTTTTCGGGACATCAAAGGTCTACTATGGCAAGAACTAAAGTTCATGTTTCGAACTTTCCAGCCAACTTCGCAGTGTACAATCCGGTTACTCAAAATAAAGGTCTGAGTGCAAAACTTGCGAAGCAAAGCTCTAACTTAGCGATAAACTTAACTATAGATTCCGTAGAATAAATAATACTGTTGTGAGATATATGTTCCACTACAATTATTTTCTAATCTATTTTAAAACGAAAAAAATTTATATTATAAGATGTTCAAAGCTCCGATTATAAACTAATAAATTATTGTTTTATTCCCCAAATTCCGGACGATCTCAAGAAATGGGGAATTTCTGCCAACACGGATAAGCAAACTGCTTCTTTGATAATACACACAGGAAGAAATTTTTATGTGCAGTGAACATATCAGTCAATAATTAATTGCAAACTAGGCAAAATGCATGCATGTGGCGCGGGTCATTTTAACATCGAGAAGAAACGCACTGTATGCCCTCAATTCAATTAAGTCGCCAACATCAACGCATCAAACAGGTTCAATAACTATTGAGACAGAAAAAAAGAATATCGGTCCCATTTTTAGCGAGGTCATTATAATAATTGAGATCCGAATGAGGTTATAGTGAGGCGACTATAACAGTTAAAATCAATATTTATGAGATTTTATAGTGAATCTTATGAAGGCTTACCTCGTCATAAGATCAGTCGCAGAGACCAGACTGCAGTTCCAAAGATCACAGCTCTCCCTAAATGGCGCAAATGGAAGATTTATTTATTTATTTTATAATTTCAGAATGGGATTTGGAACACAGCTAAGGCTGCTAGTTGTTTTAGCACGACACCAACTTGGACAGTCATGTCTAAATTATTTTTATCGAAGCATTAGCTGTTAAACTTAAGTTACATCCAGTTTCGTTTTTTATCAATTAAACCAAGTCCTGCAACGGACATCAATGGGCTAGCCCTAGTTCTAAAATTATGGACACCAATTGAAAAATAAAAAAAGGTTTAGGATCTTACGAAATAGTAATATAAAAACATATTTCATGGATCAGTAAACAAAAACGAATTTATAGCCGAAGTGCTCAATCACTATAGTTATGGGCACTCACACTGATATAAACTATAAATAGATTACGGGTTTAGCTTCTGTTGGAGGAAAAATATGAGAATTTCTTTCAAATTACAAAATGTATTACACTTAAACAGCAGTGGTTTTTGCAAAAGTTGTTAGAATAATTCATTACTGCCAACCCAATAATTTTTTCGGAATTTAAGTGAAGCCATAGACGCGTTCGATCAAATGAAAAGCGGAGAAAATCATCGCACATGCACTTTCACAACACGTTAATTAACTCATAACTTTTACAATCGAGTCTCACTAAGAATTTTTTTAATGCAATATAAAAAATATTCTGACCTAAAGACTTGTTGCAATACGGACGGAAAACACTATTAATTCTCATTCTATGATAGAAAAATATATCAGCAGAAAAAGAATTCTATTGCATGGCACAATGCAGCAGGCCGGCTGTCAGCAGGTCGGGACAACACCATCGCCACATCCTGACCCTAACACAGTCAACGGTGCACTGCAGCCACGGCGTTCCCGCCCGCTGTGAACTATCATGTTTTGCCGAGCCTCTATTGCCTCGGGCTTTGACCTGAGCAACCGTGAACGTTGTCTCTCGATCCCAGCTTAGAAATAGAGGTTTGTAATAATACTAAGGGTATAAAACATCGTTTGGTTCAATTAGATCACTAAGATCACATTATTCTAGTCCAGTACATCTTAATTTTTACTGGGAACTCAGCCGCTGGGAAAATCACTGCAAAAAAAAAAACTGTACAAGACATTTGAGAGATACGGGCATCTTTTGTAATCCTTCTTGCGAAGGGAAGTTTACTGTTCTGATGAAAGCATTTTTAGATGAAATTACTATAAACAGACAGTAAAAGAATAATTTCGATAAAAAATTTCCTGTTACTTTGAATAAAGAGGAATAGAATGCAGCGATAATGAGGTGCCTGCCTGCGTTGCGTAAACAATTACGTTCTCTTGATTTAATCGCTGGCTCCTTAGAGAGGGAGTGCATGAAGATATTTATTGCAGTTAGCCGACAGCAATGCATTGCACGTCTGGCGCGGCAGTTCGTAATTACTGAGAAGCATTGCCTGGTAAACACGTGTCTTTATTGCTTCTATTAAATATTCCTGAACTGTGATTCGAAATTCTGTAGCCCGTAATTTCTTGAAGTTTACTTAAAAATAAACGTGACCATTTCTCTTTTTTCATGTGAGCAGTCTAGATCATGTTGTTTTACGTTCTTAATACGTAGACAGTTTGTTGAACACAAAATGTTGAGCTCGTATAGATATCAATTATTAAATAAATACAGTATCACATTATAAAACAATCTCAGACTATTCGCTTACTGAATATTTAAATGAGTGATAACAAAGCATTATTCAGCTCTTAATTCCCGAATTTATAATGATCATTAGCGATGGCCAATCGCAAATAGGTAAAATATAACTCAGTACTCACTGCAGTGAGTGACAGAGAGAGCATTTTCTCGTCGACGAAAACTTGAGGTCAAGGATGGACAGACAGACGGACATGGCGAGCACAATTGTGCATTTTTTCCATAAATGAGAAAATGCGCTAAAAATGTTGCTCTTTAATTATCAATAAATTATTATCCAATTTATCTTTCCGCATCTGCAGGCGTTCAGAGCGATTAAATTTTCACTACGAATTTCATGACGCAATTCATATCAAACTTGAATGAATTTCTTCACATGGTCAAGTGCACCATGAGGGATTAATGAGTCAATAATTGGGCCAACTCAATTAATTGGTAGGCATTATCTATTAAGTCAAGGTATATAATTGATTTTCAACAAATATATATATATATATAAATAAACACCTTGCATTGCTGAAGTGTCATGATAACTTTTAGGACGAAAGTGACAATTCACTTTCAAAGCAGCTATAGGTTTGTTGGGCTGTGAAGAACTAAGACTGGAATAGCTGAAGTGAGACTCTGCATGACTACAACAGAGACTCTGTCTCTGACTACAACATGAACTTTTTATGAACGATGTCAATCATTGCCGATGGGATAGAGTATGCGGCAGCCGTTGGCAAAGACATAAACAATTTCATTAATAAAATGACGCGTTTTAAATAATAATCCACATTTTTAGCCTGGCTACTCATTCATAGCTCACTGTTCGTGTAGCTCAAGGTAGTTAATTGAACCTCTGATATCATCGATGTTGGTTAAGTTGGAAGTGAATCGGATGACTTATACGTATACTAGTCATCTCTCAAAATACGCTTATTAAGACTGACGCAAAATTTCTGGTTAATTTCGGAAATTTTCTATTTCCTAAAAGGCAGCTTGACAATGAAAATTTGGTAATGCTTATTTCCTAAACGGCTGTCAAATTCTAATTATGAATGCATTTTCTTTGAGAAATTCGTTTGGATTATGAACAGATACTTACCTGAAGGAAATGTTGAGAAAATATTTCATACATTTTCCGTCGTTAGATAGTTGGTACAGAACTTCTTAATGTCGCTTCGAGAAGCTAATGCAGACAACTTAGAACTTTATGGCCCCATACAGGCATTGTCTTCAGAACGATCTTATTGCGTCTGCCAGAACGCATCACTTGCTTCTTAACAGCCAAACTTCCTTCATGGCAAGTCTGATGAGTTATCAACTTTGATATCCAATATAGCTCCTCCCCCCTCAGTTCCTCGTCACTATACTCTGCTGGACTTCTTCGAATTTGTCTCAAGTGGGGCGCCCTCATTGAGCCCCCGCCTGACATTCATGGGCCGCTAAACTCTGAGCTATTGTGGTTTTAGGGCTCCTTTTATTAACGCTCGGTCACGAATGGAAGAAGTTACTCCATAAAGTCCAGATTCTTCAGACATCATTCAATTAATTCCATGTCAAATCTGTTAAAGAATCCAATGTTCAAATATGTGCACTATAGTGCAAAAGATATTCATATTTATTACCAAAACCTGTGCTCCACAGGCACTATTTGCTTCGCGTATTCATTATTATTTGTTATTTACGGTAATTTCCAAGATAGTGAGTATTAAGTTTGTATAACGATGGAGGCAATATCTGAAGAAAAGTGCTATATTTTTCTACGCGAAATTTTTTTCTACGCGGGTCAAAATAGTGCTGTGCAACACATGGAGCTAAGTGGGGTCTCGATCCATATATATATCATCCCTGGTTTGCTGGGGATTGTTCATCTATTTCTCGTTAATATTACTCATCAGTTGAGGTTGCATTTAATGCGTCAATTGTACAACCATTTCAAATATTATCTTCAAATTTCATCTTCATACCGCTTCATATTTCATCGTTCCTCACACAGGCAGGCCTAAACAATAATTCATAACCAATTCTTCATCAACATATGATCGAATTACATAATACTTGGTATGGGTCAGTATTGCCGTTGATAACTATAAGAATTAGCACAAATTTTAATATTTTTCCCTATCCCACGCCATAAAAATTACTGATTCATAGGTCAAAACGTCCCTAAAGTTTTAATACCAAACGACAGTTACAATAAATATCTTTCGAGAACAATTTTGCGCTTCGCTGTAAGGTGTAAGAGAACCAACTTCAACTTTCCTTGCTGCGCGTAAATTCAGGTTAGAAGTCAGCGAAATCAACGTCCCGGAAGACAATGCAACCGCAACTGCGGACGTTGAGGGGTTGATAATTATTGCTCTTTTAGGCCTTCGCAGTGAATTGTTCGAACAAAGGCATTATCTGTTTGGGCAAACAGACCAAAGGCACGCGATCAAAGGCATTATAATTATCTGTTTATCTAATATTGTTGCCCTGCAATTAATTCATATTTCGAGCGTTTTTTTATCTCAAGCATTTCCTAATTGAATGCCATTCGATGCACACATTTCCGAAGTATATATTTTTTGGCGTTCATAGCAAAAAAGACATAATGGTTTTTGAAATAATGCAACAGGCTTTCTTTTGTTCAAGATAGGTTTTAGATTCAACAACGTCTCCAGATGACGTTGTTGACAAGCTTATCGATTCCTACCTTACCAGCTTCACCTTGGCGTGTGTAGAGTGAAACCAGATTCACTTTAGCGCGTTTAGAGCGAGAGCAGATTCATTTATATAGAGTGTGTGGATCGAGACCAGCCTCGCCTTAGCTTGTGCAGAACGAGAGCAGATTATTTTAGAGTGTGTATAACGAGACCAGATTCATTTTAGAGTGTGTGGAGCGAGATCAGATTCATTTTAGAGTGTGTGGAGCGAGATCAGATTCATTTTAGAGTGTATGGAGCGAGACCAGAATTATTTTAGAGTGTGTGGAGCGAGATCAGATTCATTTTAGAGTGTGTTTTTAGAGTGTATGGAGCGAGACCAGATTCATTTTAGAGTGTATGGAGCGAGACCAGATTCATTTTAGAGTGTGTAGAGTGAGACCAGATTCATTTCAGCGTGTGTGGAGTGAGGCTGCATGTCGGCGGCCATGCCCCATGCTGAGGCGGCCTGATGAGACATGAACAGAAGCTTCTTGCAGCCCACGCCTGCCGACTGGAAATGGAAGAATTGAATTTAATTTAGTCCAGAATAAACATAAGATATAGGCTGTCAATTCTGAACAGTAGCGTCGGCCATGGCTATAAAGGGATAATAAATTTATTGAAAACAACCTTATCTATATGAAACGTGGATAATTTTCAAAAGGTCAAGAGATATGATTTAAAAATGATCCTGAAGAATTATCAGTGAAACCTTTAGTTATAAAATTTAGACTGAAAAACTAACTTGCGATAATCATACGTTATTAAACATTGCAAGAAATCGATTGATTATATATTTTGCATGTCAGTCATTATGAACTGAAATTGGTAAGACACTTCTCATACATTGCTTCAAAATAGAATATACCAAAACATTTATTCACTGTTCAAAATAAGCCGAGAAATAGCTGAATATAAATTCAGCCTCTTAAATGCGCATATCCAGCCTTTTGACTACGGATATCCAGCCTTTTTACTGCGGACATCCAGCTTATTTTACTGCGGACATCCAGCCTTTTTACTGCGGACATCTAGCCTTTTTACTG